CAGTGATGCCAGAACTTTTTGGACAAACCGGCTAAATTGGCAAAAAAAAACGGCTAAACTGTTTCATTTAAATTTCACAACTTTTAACAAATCACAAGTAGACTAGTCCTTGGATNAAATATAACTGTTAAAATTTCGCGTCCAGTGATGCCAGAACTTTTTGGACAAACCGGCTAAATTGGCAAAAAAAACGGCTAAACTGTTTCATTTAAATTTCACAAGTTTTAATAAATCACAAGTAGACTAGTCCTTGGAGAGATGTTGCAAATTCAAGCTGGAAAAAATTTTGCCAGAAAGAGTTTACAATTAGGAAAACTTATGATTGTGGTACATGGTTGGATTTTTTGTAGACGATAATTTTAATAAACAAGTTCGTTAAATTAAAAAATTTACAAACTTGAGCGATTTTAAAACCTAAAATGTAAATACTTGTTTACATAACTAATTTAGTTAATTCCAATGATTTGAATGGTACTCGGCTAAAAAGAAACTGTATTCGTAATCGGAATGCAATCTCAACCAGAGTCGATATAAGAAACCCGACAGTTACTACGACAAAGGAATTGAAACCTATGTTGAAGAAAGTCGGAATAACAAGAAATATACATGTAAATCCTCTTTTTTGCCCCTCTGAAAGAATTTTAAAAATTCTATACAAATCTCTTATGTTTGAAATGCAGCCGTGGCAGGGAAACTTGCGAATTCCAGCAAATATGCGTTCGTGCAGAAATTTTGAATTTTCTCTACTTGAGAGAGAATTTGGGAGCATTTTTTTACTATCTGATATTTTTAGTGATAAATATCACTGGTTTTTGACGAACAAACCTATTGTCTCCCAGAGAGTTTTGCTTTACATAGATATTTGTGCTCTTTTATTTTCATTTTGACGCATTTCAGTGTTGGTTCCTTTAATTCAAGTTGGCCTTCGGTTTTTGGAATTTAAATAAGTTCTCAGCATAAAAAGTTTGTTTAAAAAAATACGTATGTGTACATAGTGATTGAAAATATAAATTTTTCCCATACCTTAAACCTTTAAGCAGTGAAACAATTTGTTATTTTATAAGTTTGCGAATAAAACTTCACACTTAAGTTTAAAACATTCATAACAAAGATTTTATGAAGAAAATCCCCGCTACGGTCTTCTTTAGAAAAAATATATTCGTTTAAAATAAAAATAAGCGAAATCAGCCCAATTTTATATAACCCTGCCTGACATGAAAATTTTCTCCGCGATAAGGGTAGTAGCCATTTCTCACAGATTTTGGATCGCTTAGTCAAAAATGGAAACATATATATTTCAATGTTAAGAAAACAAGGCAAAAAGCAAAATCGGCTAAAAACAGCTATTTTTTTACAAAACGGCTAACAAATTTGCTGCCTGCTAAACTGAATTTCTCCGGCTATCGCAACCGGCTAAATCTAGCCGGAAAACGGCTAAAATGGCAACACTGGTCGCGTCCCTGTTCATGTTTCCACCACTATTCATGAGGATATTTGAATTTGATCTCAATAACAAAGCTTTTTTATATTGATATACATACGTAGATTTGTCATATTTTTGTAATATTTGTATCCTTTAGCATTAAACAAAATTTAACCATTTGAACCGAACCGAACCGTAGTTCAGATGATTCACGTTTTGCAGGTTTTTACAGAAAGTCGGTCGCTACCTTCCATAAGGTTTATTAATAGCGAAAACAGCTTTTCCTGTAAATCCTGGAAAACCTGCAATTCGTGAAGAATATGGAACGCAACTATTACTAATGAGCCGGCTCTTGAACCGGTCCAAGCTTTTTAAAGTGGTTCGAACCACTGAACCGAACCGCACCATTTTTTGGAGTGGTTTGCAGCCCTGCTTATAATGCCTTTGGTAGCGGATGAACCCAAAGTGGTTTGCGACTGAAAACCAATCAAGAATTTCGATTTAAAAATCCGTAATTATGTAGGACTCGCGATGGCAAAAACTTCACTTCCTTGTAAAAATGAAAGCTAACTGGGATGTTCATTGTGAGACGTCTTGAAGAGGATAAAGACTGAAAAGATTCAGCGTTCGCATTAAGAAGGTTTTGTCTCGGCACAGTGACTGGGCAATTTCCATAGGTTCGTGTTTTCTAAAAAAAAAGATGTGCGGAAAGAATAGGCGCTATTTCAGATTAGCTGTGTTTAGCGCAGTGATACAGGGCGTCAACCGAAAGTGATAAAAACTATTCCTACTAGGCGGAAACTAAATCACAACCAACCAGAAATATTGTCGGGACTACAAGCGCCATAACACAGTACTTTCTCTTCTGTGCCAACTGATGCCAGTTGGATATGTCAAGTTAGGCCAAGTCCTTCACCACCTGGTCTTTCCAACGCATAGAAGGCCTTACTCTTCCTCTGTTACCAACATCGCGACCCGCGTGGAATACTTTCAGAGCTGGGGCAGTTCTGACCATTCGAACGAAATGACGTAGCCAGCGTAACCGCTTAAATGGTATGTGGCATACGCCATCGCCAACGCGCAAAGGCCAGTAAATCTTTCGCAGAACCTTTCTCTCGAAATATCCAAGAGTCGCTTTATCGGTTGTTTTCATTGTCCATGCTTCAGCGCCATACACCAGTACGGGCGTTATGAGTGACGACAACGGCAGAAGTATAAAGGACTACACCGAGAGAAATAAGCGTCCTAAAATCAAC